TATTCCTTGCATCATATTCCTCTGGTCTCTCTCTCTCTCTCTCTCTCTCTCTCTCTCTCTCTCTCTCTCTCTCTCTCTCTTTCAGAGTCATTAAGGCTACTTGAAGGTTTATCTGTGACCTCAGCGTAACCTGAATGTTTGCATAATATAGGGCCTCAACGATTCTTAGAAAAAGTGCTAACAACCAGATGACTGCAAGAAATATAAATCCTTTCATCCTCAACCGTTCAGTCAAAACTGAATAAACTTTTTGGATGAGAAGCAAAATGTCTCCAAGAAAAACAAAATCCAGTTGCCTTTTGAAAAAGCAGCTTTGGATCAGCTAAAACCTATTTCCCCCCTTTATTAAATGCAAGTCTTGTGAGTTGCAAGGATTGTAGGAATACATTTCTTGGCCAAACATTGGACTCTTATAAAAATTTAATGGATAAATTTATGTACACAAATATGGTTCCAAGCTGCACACTTGTTTCATTCCTTTGACAATTGTAATTGGGTTGACGATCTGACCAATTGCCTACATCTAATTTCAAGTCTTGCATTATTGTACAGATTTTTCAAGAAGTGTTCAACGGTTGAGAAATGATTTGTAATGTAATTTGCCTAAATCCTATTAATGTTGCTATAACACATACTGCCTGAAAGGGTGTTGTCTAATCTTAAGATATTTGTTATAACAAACAAGACTTATCCTTTCCCCCATTACACACACACACACACACACACACACACACACACACACACACAAGACTAACCACCCTTTGTACTAGACAAGGTATGGTTAAACAAGAGTAATCATTGTCTAAATGAAAATTATTAGTCATCTAGGTTTCCTACATTAGCAATATATCAATGTTACTAACTAAGTCTATTAAAAGGACATCTGTGCTATGTAACAGAATCAATGACAAAGTACATTTTGCTGTTGATTGTCAATCAATAGGGGTTATATCATTAACATCACCTTTGTTGATTATTTTAAATTCCTAGGTGGGACTGTATTAGAAACTTCCTTCCTTTTGAAGCTTTGTCTATTGTGTTACAGGATTTAATGATTATACTGTCTCAGGGTCAGTAGAATTAATACTGAATAATTCCCTGATCAGTACACTCTTGAATTTCTTACACTAAGAATTTGCAAAAGGCAAGATGTAGTGTACAAGATGTATGATCTCTATTTGTTGGTCCCATTCTAATGAACAAGTTGAATTAAAGATACTAACAATTCCAGAAATAAATCCAGAAATGAGTCCATAATCATCCTTGTGAAAAAACTTAATTAGTCATATTGATTGTTGAGTATTACAATTTGTGATTGATTATCAGTGGAGAGTCAAAGTCTTCCTAATTTTGCAGACAAAATTTAGTACAGAGATACTACATTGAATAAAATCAATTTTACCTTTAAAAAAATGGTATTTCACATATATTTTATTAGATGAGGTGTTATGCAATAGATCCGTGAGTCCATATAGAGCATGAGTCCTCAAACTATGGTCCGTAGGCCGCATGTGGCTGGCTAAAGCCATTAATCAGCCCATGCAGGACCACGAGGCTGTCCCGCTCACATTGCACCACCCACCCTTTGGTCTAGTACAAGACTTACTTTCACAAGTCCCTACAGCTGGAACTGAAAGGTAAGGCAAACAATTTTGTCCTGCAGAAATGTTTTGGTGAGGGAGGGGTGAAAAACAGGGCAAACAGACGTCCCAGGAGGCCAACAAATTGGTGAAAATGGTCCATTTTTGCCCAAAAGGCAAGACATTTTTCCCTGTTTTTGGCCTGAAGAATGCTTCTGGAGGTGGGGGTGAAAAACAGAGTGCACAGACACTCCAGGAAGCCAACAAATGGATGAAAATGGCTGGTTTTTCATCACTCCCACTTCCAGAAGATAGATGAAGAGAGAGGGATAGACAGAGA